GACAATGGGCAGGAAAGGTGCACTGAGTTAAATGAGAATATACACCAAAATAAAATCTGTAACTTTGTTTTGTATTATTCAGGAGTCGGTTTAGGAAATACTCTAGGTATTCCAAGCAGAAAAAGATTTAATACAGGGAAATAGCCACTTACGCATTATTTAAAAGAACTTGAAGAATAGAAATTAGAAGATCAGTGCCAGGAGCTGTCTCTCTCTCTCTGCTTCTGCCATCTCCCAATGTGATACCCTGTGTTGCTGTAAAGCCACCACCAAGGAAGACCCTCACCAGATATGCTCCCTGGACTTTAGACTTCCCAGCCTCAAAAATTGTAAGGAATAAATTTTGTTTTCTTACAAATTACCTAGTTCTGAGTATTTTGTTATAAGCAACAGAAATGGACTAGACTAATAAAGTACCTTACTCAGTTTAAATGGTTAATTGTATGTGTCAACTTTATTGGGTCACAGGGTGCCCAGATTAAACATTATTTCTGCATGTATCTGTGAGGGAGATTTCAGGTGAGATTAGCATTTGAATTAAATGGACTCAGTAAAGTAGATTGTATCCTACAATGTGGGTAGGCACCATCAAATCCATTGGGAGCCTAAATAGAACAAAAGGTAGGGGAAGGAGGAATACACCCCCTATTTTTTCTACATCACTGCTTGAATTGGGACATTGCATCTCATCTTCTCCTGCACCGGCATCAGCCCCCGGGTTCTCAGGCCTTCAGAATTGGGCTGAATTATACCACTGATTTTCCTAGTTTTCCAGCTTACAAATGGCAGATTGTGAGACTTCTCAGTCTCCATGATTGCATAAGCCAATTCCTCTTAATAAATCTTCTTTTTATATATTACATATCTCCTTTTATATATAAATAAATAAATTTCCATTTACATATGTATATTAAAAAATATATATTATTTACATATATATCCTATTGGATCTGTTTCTCTGGAAAACCCTAATTCCAGTATTCTCTTCGTTATTGCTCTTTTTCCCAACATTCTTTTTTCTCACATAGTTCTTCAACTTCCATAAGCTTAGGCAGGACTGCTTTAAGTCAGCAGCATTCTTCTCACCTATCATTAAGACTTGTTAAATAATGCCTTTGGCATCTATTCACAAGTTTAAAATTAGGCAGTGATTCTCAACTGGAACTATTTGGCCTCTCAGAGGACATTTGGCAATGTCTGGAGACATTTTTGGTTGGGGGAAGTGCCACTGGCAACTAGAGAATAGAGGCCAGGGAAGCTACTAAACATTCTACCATGCGCAGGATAGCCCTGAAAGTACTGTCAGGCCCAAAAGAGCAGTAGTAGTACTGGGGCCAAGAAACTCTGGGTTGGAATATGGAAGAAGGAAAAAAAACGGGGGAAGGAATTGAATGTGAAAGGAAGGAAGGAGTAAAGAAGAGATCCACAAGGGATAGATACACTTTTTCTGTAGAGGACCAGATAATAAATATTTTAGGCTTTGTGGGCCATAAGGTCTCTATTACAATTACTCAGCACTGCTGTTGTAGCAGGAAAGCAGTAATCAATACATAAATGACTGCATGTGGCTATGTTTCAATAAAACTTTAAGGACACTGATCATGTAATCTTCACATCACGAACTATTACTCTTTTCATTTTTTTCAACTACTAAAAAATATAAAAACTATTTTTAGCTTGCAGACTTACAAAAACAGGCCAGCAGAAGTTTGCTAACCCCTAAGATAGAAGAAGGAGGAAAAAGGATGGGATATAAATGACTATTGTAAAGCACCATATCAGTTTAGTGTTTATGTAAAGTTAGGCTAGCTTACGCTAAAGTAACAGATAACCTCGAAATCTCAGTGATTTACAATAACCAAGGTATATACCTTGCTCACAATACATGTGTACTATGTGCTGGGTAAATTCTGCTCTGTGATGTGATCATCCTGGAAATCAGGCTAAGAGAAAGCAACTGGAACATTGCTGAATATACTAGCTGAAGAAAAATGGACAGCGTGGCAAACCAGGGATTGGCTGTAGACATTTCTGCCTGAAACTGACATACATCACTTTCACTCATATTTTACTGGCCAAAGCAAGTTACATACTCATGCTAGACTTTAATGGTGTAGGATAGTAGAATCCTCTCTCAGGAAGGGGCGGTGACTATGTGTGAACAATGACACAGTCTAACACATTGTCTAACCTTAGTGACTTCAGCTTAGGTTTGCTTACTCCTCAGCCTAAGTTTATTATATTCTCCAAACTTGTGTCTTAAGTGGGGGCTGGGAGATATAATAATAACAATAATAGTAGCTAATGTTTATTGCTTGATTATTTCCCATACATGCATCCTTTACATGTATTGTTGCATTTACTTTTCATTAAAACCAATTGAGGTGGTGTATTAGTCTGTTTCTGTTGCTTATAACAAAATAGCTGAAACTGGGTGATTTATAAAGAAAAATGACATTTATTGCCTACAGTTTCTGAAGCTGGGAAGACCAGTCTATCTGGTGGTAGTGACAGTGATCCAGGGGTCTCACATTGCAAGATGGTGGAGGCAGAGAGAGCAGAGAGAACAAGACAGACTCTCCTCTTCTTTTAATGCCCTCAGAACCATGCCCATAACCACCATTTTTAATCCATTCACTACTGCATGGCCTACAATTTAATCACCTCTTTAAAGCTCCACCTTTCAATTACCATAATAGGACTTCCCACCCTCTTAACAGTCACAGTGGGGGCTAAGTTTCTAATACATAAAGCTTGGGGACACAATTAAGCTTCAGTGAGTTTTGGGGGAACATAATTCAATCCACTACAGGTGGTTACTATTTTTATCCCCGTTTTATAGATGATGAAACAGCAATGGAGAGGTTAAGGACGCTCAACTACCAAGTAGTCAATACTCAAACCCAGGTCACTCTGGTTTTAAAATTCATGTTTTCACTCTAACATAAATTAAAATGTAGATTCTGGTGATAAACTGCCTAAATTCAAATCCAAGCCAGATACCACTTTTATGAACTTGGGCAAGATCTATAACTTCTCCTCGGTTTCTTCATTTGTGAAATACGGGTAATACCAGTTTCTACTTCATGGGATTTTTGCAAAGATTAATGCAAAAATTAACATATGTATGTGGAGTGCTAGTGTTTAGAACAGTGCTTGGCAAAAAAAAAAAGTTTGATGATGATGATGATGTTGCTGATTTAGCCATGTTTTGGAAAGCTACACTAGTAATCTAATCTCCTCCCTTCTACTCCTTCCTCCTCCCCCAGTCCCCTTTGAGAATTATTGTTCTAGATTTCTGCCCCTACTCTGCATTTTTCTATTCTTGGACTAGCTCTTCACCAAATTGGGGCATAAACTGTAGGAACACCATTGTCCTCAACTCAGCTGTACACTTCATCTCTGTTTCCCAAATTTTGCTTGCTTGTCAGTTTTATATTTGTGGTTTATTATTTAAACTCCTAGTTTATATTTGGTTTATAGCAATGATCTGGAATACAGAAGTAGGCTGTCTGGAGGAGAGGCAATAATAGTGTCCCTGGTTCTTGCAACATGACCTTGCTGATCACATCTTCCAGTTAATTTTTTAAATTAGATGGTTTTACTGTGGTTTAATTTTGGAAACATTATACTAATTTTTTCCCCTGTAAATATTGTGACAACACTCAGCCAGCACCGTAGTAAACTGTGCTAGGCATCGATCTCTCTATTGGGCATCAGCCTTTTCAAAACCAGATATTGTTTGAGAAGAACCTGATGGTCTGGTAGATTTTTTATGACAAAGTATGTATAGCTCTTTTCTATGTGGGGTGAAGAGAACTAAACAATTTGTTCTCAGTATTTATGCTTAAAATGGAATGAAACAGAATGACTTGTAGGCAAGTTGGAATCTGTTTAATTTTACCATCCCCCTCAAACTTATATTTTTCCTTAAAAAATATTTATTTTATAAAACAGAGGATAAAGCATGTTGATTCTTTATTTGTCCACTTGAAACAATACATGACTTCAAGTGGTGGATCTGATTGTGGTTGGAATTTGAAGTTAGGATGTTAATCCCCATGAGGGTAGTGGAGTTTTCCTGATGATTTATGCTAATTTGTTTTTGCTTCTGAAATAATTTTAAATGTTTTAAAATTTTTTGTCAGGAAATTTTTTTCTTTTTTATCTTTTTCCTCCTCTAGTTTACATTTTAATTTGCTAGTTTAGCTGCCCGGGTTTAGAAGTGATAATTAAGAAACAGCAATAGGAAAGTTTATAAAGTCTCAGAGAACATGAACAGGGCACAACACTGTATAAAGACAAAGCTAAGATTTTGATTCTTCCCATATGCATCAATTTTCCTCAAGCCAATCCTAAATTACCTTATACTTTTGAAAGTTCCAAATAAATTTAGATTTTCTAGATATAGCAAATTGGAACATAGTAATTTACCTTCTTCTCTGCCCACTGGATGGATGTACATTGTGGCTCTACTAGACATCATGTGCCATATTAAACATATTCTAGCCATCAGCTTCCATGAAATTGATGCCTTTAATCAAGTCATGCATATAAATTTGATCACTGCTGTTCTGTATGGATTAGGATCTAAGGGTTTATACATAAAACTTATCTATAAGAAGACATATCCTCAGATATGCAGAGGCATGCTGGAGTGATCTATGGGCTTCCCCCATTTTCACACTTAGATTGCTAGATGAGGTCAAAGCTAAATTCAAATTCCATTCATTTTTATGGAATAATCTGCCTTCTCTCTTTCCTGAACAATTCCCAATGATTTAGCTTTTTTCCTCTAAAAATCCACGGAGCAGAGTTAAGCATACTGTTCCCTCTAATTTCGTAGCATTTTTGAAGGAGCTTTGTAAGAAATGGAGTAAGATGAGTGAGTCCAAGCATGAAAAAGGCCAGTTCTTGAATCACATTTGCGATGGGCTAAATTATGTGGGGAACACTACAGTCATTTTCATTCAAGAGTAATGTGACACTGGAAAACAATATTTTTTGAAGTTAATCATTTAGATTTATTTTTTAAGGGAGAGGAGAGTTTTCTTGTTGATTTTGTAAGAGCAAAGGCAACAGTCAGACATTTCTTTGGCTGCTTCATACAATCCTGGAGTAAAATTGAGCCCAGGTTACTTTGGTAGGATTTGCAGTAGTAAGACATATGTGAATAAAGTGATATTAGGTCTATGTAATTCTGAATAATAAAATAAACATTAAGATGGTAATATTGGTTCCTCAAGTACTGGTATTTAAACTTTAAAAATCAATCAAGAGAGAAGATTAAGTGGCGTTTTTTGGGTACTAAGAATATAAAGCTGATACCAAATCGTTCTATTTTCACAGATTTAAGATACGAAGAATGGTATTTAAAGACATTAAAATAACTATTAAATTCTCTTCAGTTTGTAAAGAATCTCCCATGAAGTACACTTAGAAGAAATCCCTGAGTATATTACTCTATTAGTATCTTCCTTCATAAACAAAGGGAACAATTTAAAAGCTTTGCAAACATATGAACACAGTACTTAGCAAAAGCATTATCTGTTTATAAAACTGCCTCCATAGCACTTATGAATTAGGCCACCAAATTCTTAATAGGAGAAACAACAGATTCAGAGAATTAAGCTGTGACATTTAAACACATTAACCATCCTTAGGCAAATCAGAAAACCACTCCCTTATGGTGTCTCTGTTTTGTTTCAGCCACTCAATATTGTTTCTCACTGTTTCCAGCACTTGCTCCCTAGGACTTTCTCCTGCTCCAGCTTCTGGATATTTTGCGAAAAAGCTCTCCATCTAGAAATGAGAGGGAAATAATTAGGAAAGACATTTTAAGCCCAATTGTTCTTCAAGAATTTCATCTACAAACTGGATTTGTTTCCTTCTTGCCTGGAAATTTGGTATCAGTGCACGAGTGATACATCACTTAGTGCATCATTCAGGCTAAGCTCATCCCTCAGACTAGCTACCATTCCCCGTGGCTTTTGACCCCTGACCATCAAGCCAAAATAGGCTCTGACTGGAGCTGGGGAAGGAGGCTGCGTATCAGTGGCTGGCATGTCCCTTTTTGCTTCTGCTGGTTTCTCTGTTCTCTGTGAATTCCCCGAGGTGTTCCCTGGAAAATCTGGCCTGCGGAATGATGGTTTTGCTTAGCCTTTCACTCCAGGATTCTGGAGTATTTTAATACACTTTCAGTTTAATTAAAGACATTTTAAAAATCACTGTTAAACTTAGTTCTGTCTTCCCTCTGACCTCCAAAACCCTCAAACTCAACCATAGTATTATTTGCTATTTACAAAAATACAAATTGGTTTCTTAAATTACAAAAGGCTGTTAAAATTCCAAAGTCTAGGGCCGACCCCATGGCTCATTCGGGTGAGTGCGGTGCTGGTAGCACAGAGGCCGTGGGTTCGGATCCTATATAGGGATGGCTGGTGCGCTCACTGGCTGAGCGTGGTGCAGACGACACCATGCTGAGGGCTGCAATCCCCTTACCCGGCAACAACAACAACAACAAAAATCCAGAGTCTAACACACAGATATCAAAACTTCATACAGTCTCCATTTGTCCAACATGAATGAACATCCCTCCTCTTCTCCAGGAATTGAGATATTTGAAACCTGGAAGATTTGGAATTAGTTCTGAAATTCCAAAACTGTGAATTCTGAATGGAATCAAATCTTAACCATCTTCAGAAAAGGAGAGACACACTGTTCGTGCTGTAGTGAACCGACAGTCTCATGTAGCCTAAGCCTCCCACGGCCTCACCTTTCTCAGTTTTTAAACTTATTTCTTGGTCAACTGAATATTTTTTTCAGTTTAGAAAAAATAGTTGTATATTTTATTAAATACAAGAATTATTTCTGTCTTCATTAGGTATACTTATCAACATAAATATATCAAAACAATAATTTACACCTTAAATATACAAAAATTTAAAAAGTAATTATTTCTGGGTTGTTTTTTTTTTTTTTTTTTTTTTTCATCTGGACAGTAAGGGGATCCCAACCCTCTGACCTTGGCATTACCAGCACCACACTCTCCCAAGTGAGCTATCCAGCCAGCTCAAAAAAGGAATTATTTCTTTCTGGTTGTCTTCTGTGATTGAAATGGAGAAAATGGCATTGCTATTAGGAAAAAAAAAAAAGGTTTAATTCTGTTACATCTTAGACAAATAGAGGAATTTATGTAAACCCTCTGACCTTGGCATTACCAGCACCACACTCTCCCAAGTGAGCTATCCAGCCAGCTCAAAAAAGGAATTATTTCTTTCTGGTTGTCTTCTGTGATTGAAATGGAGAAAATGGCATTGCTATTAGGAAAAAAAAAAAAGGTTTAATTCTGTTACATCTTAGACAAATAGAGGAATTTATGTACATACCTGCCAAAGTTCTAGTTCAGTGTTGAATGGCTCTGCTATCGTGACAATTCGGCCCAGGTATCGGTCATTGATTGTAAATCTGAACAGAAATTTAGAGGAGTAAAAGGGAGTATAAGTGACCAGAACTTAAAATCTTTTCTCTAAATATAGATGTTTTCTTTCTGTTTTCTGGGGTTTTAAAATTAATTTTCAACCTAAGCAAAACAGTAAGAAAACCCATTTAACTTAAAATAATTCTATTCAGGAGAAATTCTTAGTAAATTGTGCACTTCTTAGACAGATTCACATCACTTTTGCAGATGTGGGAGACTGCTTGTTGTATTCCCCAAATCAGTTCTTTTTTCCTGCACAAATGAGCACCCATAAATGAGAGACTGCATTTCTCAGCCTCCCTCATGGCTAGGTATGGACAGGTGACCCAGTCCTTTCAGTAGAACATGAGCGCAAGGGAAATGTTCAACTTTGGCTTAAATGAGGGGAAATTGCTTGTCTTAGACTTCTTGTTTTTTTTCTGCCCTTCTTCCAAGCTGGAGCATGAACATACCAGTGATTCAGCTTCAACCACACAGGTTAGATAATGGCCTAGGCCTCACCAAGCAGAACCTCCCTCATGATTTCACTGCTTGCTTCAGGAGTCTAACCTGAGTGAGAAATAATTACCCACACATGCCCTTTAAGCTGCTGTGTTTCTGTGTTTCTCTTATAGTAGAATAGCTCTAGCACCATTATCCCAACTAATATTCTATGCATTTCCTACAGGTACAGAAATTTGACTACCGGCTATTTATTCTGCTTTCAAAAAGCTTTATTAGCTACTTACACGCAGGGGGTTTCAGATTGGCTAAACAAAGACACCTGAAGTTAAGTGTGAAGATAGAACTTTAGAGATGATATCCTATTCTTGTTCTTTCTGCATTTTCTGTCTTAAAGAACAAGAATCAGAAGTTTGCTTACAGACCATAATACAGATGGTCGTGATGGAGACAAAAATCTCATCACAACTAATCACAGTGCAAAAAAACCCACAAAAGTATATATAAACCTCAAGCCACTGGAATGCTGGGAAGGGATACAAGAAAATATATCTATGTATAAAGCAGTAGGATAAATTTTACATTTAAAAATGATCACATAGCAAAAACAGATGCCATGAAGATAAAAATCAAGTCTGTTTTTACACAAATTTATAAGTTTTATACTAAATTAAAAATCAAACACTAGGGCCGGCCCGGTGGCACACTGGATAAGTGCGCCGCTTGAGAAGCACGGCGGCGCTCCCGCCCGAGGGTTCGGATCCCACATGCAGACCGGTTCCCGCTCGCTGGCTGAGCGAGGCGCGGGGGCAACGCCGAGGGGCAACGCCGAGGGTTGCAATCCCGTTGCCGGTCCCCGGTCCGGTATGGGGGCAGCACTGAGGGTTGAGATCCGTTGCCGGACACGGAAAAAGACAAAAGACAAAAAAAAAAAAAAATCAAACACTAACTGCACTAACTAGGAAAAAATAGTTATAATATATATTATAAAGAGCAAATGTTTTTACTATATAAAAAACCCTACAAATTGGTGAGAGGGAGAAATATGTCAGCATGAAATTAGCAAAGGAATGAAAATGTACCAATGGGAAAATGATGAAGAGTTCTAGTACTCAACCCAAAACCTCAGTGTACTAGGCCCAATGCCTACCTTTATTAGAGACACCACTGAATTTAGATCTACTCTGTCTTTCATCCCTAATGTCATCAGTCATTACCCAAAATGTGACTCTGAGGCATCTAGTAATGCGGTCTCTAAATGTGTATACCTCCTTAGTTTCTGACACAGCTTCCTAGATCTTCCCAATCTCTTGAACCCATACCCCTAGCCCTCTGGAACTGACTCTTTCCAGAGACTACTACCTCTCACCCAGAGAATGTTTACTTTCCCACATCCTTTTTAGCACCAGGAAACCATCACGCTCCCATTGCAGCTTCCAGATGATTATTCCTCCACCCTTTCTAAAAACCTCTGTTCCTTCAAGGTCTTCCCTCTCATTTATGATACACTTTGGCACCTCTACTCTCTACTCCAAGCCATGCCATCATTCTGCGTGATTTCAAGGTCCGTGTGGCTGGTCAATAGAACATATTAGCTCCTTAGTGTCTTGACCTTACTTCCAACGGTATTTTCTCCACTCCGTCTTAGCCACCAAATTCCCATGAAACCTTGTGATCATCCATAAATAATCCGCCTCTAAAATTATTAATTTATGCACCCTCTATGACATGTCATTCAGTCTTCACTATGACTATGCTTTGACTTTTCCTGGATTTGACTATCCTCACCCCTACATTCTCCTGGACCATCAACTATTTCTTCTCTTTTATTCCTTTCTTTAAATAGTTTAGATGCCATGGTCTTCCATGTTCAATAACATTTTTGCCCAAGCCCTAAACTACCTTGTATTTTAATAGTTTATGTCTAGCGAAACTCCAGCTTTGGAGGAAATCAACTGCCCATTCTCTCTGAGTTTGTATCAGATCAGCGATTATCACACTGATAATCCTTCTACAAGACCCTGGTCACCTCATTCTTTTCCTCTTCGAATTGCCTTTTTCAATATTTTAACTCTCTTCCAACCTCCAAACACTCTGCCTCTTCCCCCTCTCCCTCCAAGGATGTCCTTCCTTTCTACTTCACAGAGAAAATACACAACAACTCCTACAAATTGTAGTTTACAAGCATACAAATACATGTTTCTTCCTCCTATTGCCTGTGCTTTAGATGCTATTTCTCCCCACTTTCTTAAAAACTTTATATTTTAAAAAATCTTCTTTCTGTATTACATGTTAAATTTCTTATTCACCACTGGATCTTCATCATCAAATTTTCAACATGTTAAGTACATTAAAAATACCTTCCATATAAATAAAGAAAAAAACCTCTCTCTTGATCTCACATCTCTCTCGTCATCCTTTCTCTCACCTCCCCATTCACAGTCAAACTTTTCAAGAGATTTCATTTCTTGTCTCTGTCTCCTCATCAGAGACTCATTTATTGATTTGCTTCAATTGAGGTCTGCCTCCATCACTCAACTGAAAAGCTGTTTCTAGAATTACCAATGGCTTTTAATGTCAATACATCTAATGGACATTTTTTAATCTTCAATTTACTCAACTTTTAAGTAGTTTCTTTTTGTTTGTTTGTTTTGTTTTGTTTTGTATTTTTTGTCCTTTTTGAGGCCGGCCGCACCCAGCCAGCGAGCGCACCAGCCATCCCTATAGAGGATCCGAACCCGCGGCAGGAGCGCTCCTGCGCTCCCAGCGCTGCACTCTCCTGAGTGCGCCACGGGCTCGGCCCTTAAGTAGTTTCTAACAAGGGACCATAACCTCTTTGAAACAATCTCCACTTTAACCTCTTAGAAGTAACTCAAAGACTTCATATATAGCAAACTGAACTCATAGTTCTCTGGCAAACCTTATCCTTTCTATAAACTGAGGCAATGTCCTTGTCCCCTCATTTTATCTCCCATTTCCAATCTACCACCAAGTTCTAAATGTTATTGTTGTCTCTTCATCATCACCATTACATCCATAGTACAATCTACCACCATCTTTTCCTGGGGCTATCACAACAGCTAACTGCCTTTGCCAAATCCACTCTGGCCCCCATCCAGGTGTACATTGTCCCTTACTACCAGAGCTTTCTTTTAAAAGTAAAGTCGATCATTTTACTTTCTTACTGAAAACCATTTAGTGACTTATCTTTGCTCTTGGAACAAAAGCCCAAATCTTAACACGACCCTGCAGCTCTTGGCCCTTATCTTTCCTTTTTCCTGATGGTAGGCCTCCAGCCAGGAAGGCTTCACTTCCTGTCCTCAGTTTAATCATCACTTCTTAGGGAAGAACTTGTTTCTTTTGACTTGGTCAGTTTACCCTTTACACTCTTTCAGTGTGCTCTAAACCTCTTTTTTGGTAATTACAGTTTTACGTATACATACATGTATTTGCATGACTCTGCTTAATATTGGTTTCCATCACTGGCTGTAGCTCTCTAAGGACAGAGAACCAGGTCTGTGTCTCCCTACAGTTGCACGCCAATGCCAACCATAATGCCTAGCTCATAGTTGCTGCTCCACCATATTTATTGGATGAAAGAATTATAATTTAAAATGAGATTCATTTATTCAACTTGCAAGAATATTTTTAAAATAACAACAGTAAGTATTGGAAAAGTTTCAAAAACTAGGCAGTTATTACTAAAATTTTTTTGGGTGGCAATTCTGCAGCATTTATCAGAAACCCTGAAAATGAACACAAATTTTACACCAGTAGTACCACTTCTAGTATTACTTGTATCGTAAAGAAATTGTTGAGGACATTCAAAAAGAACAAAGAGATTCAGTTGTTCATCAATACATTATTTATAGCAGTGGGGCAACAATCCTATTGTCCAACAGATAGGGACTGGCTGAACAGACTAAGATGTATCTACACATTAAAATACTATCAAACCATTAAAATTATTTTGAAGAAGCATACTTAAAGACATGAAAAGACATCCACAAATAGGATGGGGAAAACAAGTTATAAAACCATATGCATAGTATGGTTCCATTTCTGTAAATTAATAAATAAGCAAACAGCCATAGAGAAATGACCTAAGGAAAAAAAATAACAAGACAACAAGAGTTATTTCTAGATGGTCACAATACAGGTAATTTTTGTATTCTTATTTTTGCTTATCTGCACTTTGTGCAAAAAACACATATCAATTTTATAATAAGAAAATGGGTATTTTAAAAAGGAAATCACACTGAGTTGCTGCAGGTAGATTCTATGGTTTTAAAGAAAATCTGCTAATTGCAGATAATAAATTTTTTCAGTGATCTTCTATAATTTCTATAATGTTCCTCTCTGTTTTGTTCTTAGTGATTAAAAATGAAAGAACATATTTGGGAACTAGCAATGAATAGATAGAATAAAAACTGCAACTATCTGTGTAAATACCAAAAATGTGAGAACAAAATATGTTCATCCAAAGAAACCAATATCATATACAATATAGAAAATAGGGGGAGATATGCCATGTATTTATCATACTGGTCATTTTTAAAACTAAAATAAGGATTTATATCTTAAATAGTTTGAAAAATTATATGAAAATCATCTTCTTGGACTTAATCTTTATATAAAAATACTATTATGTTATCTAAAAAATAATTTTAATGCACACAAAACTTTTAATTAAATGCTCATTAAATTATTTTGTTTATGAGGTAGTGTTCAAATGGTTTCAATCATGACCTATTAACTTAATTTTTCATCTATAGTCATAAACAAAAATCACACCCCACTGTTGGCTCATTCAACTTCTCATTTCATCTAAGAGTTTAGTGGAAGAAACAAAGCAAAAAATAATTTTCCAAGTATCTTTAGGACTTTGTGGTTAAGTCTAAAACTGGCAAGGGCATTAGTGGTGTGGCCATCAGCTGGCATGAAAATCACATGACAAAAGCTTTATTTAAAAAGCAGCTTGTTTATTTTAGGGTGACAGTAAATTGTTCAGAAATGAAGGCAATAAAACTACTCATGAAATTTGAAAAATGTTCAAGAGTTTGGAAATATTTGGATAAAACTTGCTCATTACGGTTTAATTTGTCTTATCCATTTTTCATGGAGAAATTCTATTTATTCAAACCAAACATAATTAATATTGTTTTTGTGTGTGTGTTAGACATTTGGTTATTATATAATTTTATGTTTGTGGCCATTTGAAATAATATCTCATGAGAATAAGACCATTAGACTATGAAGAAATACTAAAAGCCTTAGGCAAGGGTTTTGGAACTAGTTCTGGAAGCAGTTTATCGATTTGTTTTTCTTGGAAAAAAAATCAGTTTATTAGGTCTAATTCATTTATTTTAAGGCCGGATGTTTATGACCTTTATGACCAGGTAAAACTTATTTTTTTCCTACTCCTTAATTTTTTTTAGAGGTATAACAATGAACTAATTTTTAAAAACTCAAAATGCATTACTTGAGGTAAATTATATAAGCACTATTTAAATAGGCCTTGAGAAATTTTTTATTTAATAAACAATAAGTGAATGGTCATTTAATAAAATGCAAAATAGAACATTATTTACTTGTCTTTCACAATAATTCAAAAGTAACCACTGTGTTTTATATACATAGACTTCTTGCGGCATGCACCAAAAAAAAAAAGATAGTTCTATGGTCTTTTTGATTAAAACAAAACATGCAGTAGTGTGTCATCATACATCTTTCAAAATTGAGTGTGTTACTTTACCTTGCATGACATGAATTGTTATGCCCAGATAACATGTTCTTAATAGGTAGATTTATTCATTCTAAACCAAGCATTTCATTGAAACAATTATAAACTGATGAACAACACACATACACGTGTGCACAAGCATGCACATGCACAACCAATCTTCATAGTGATGGATGAGCAGTTACACTCAATAGTCACAAGAATAGAAAAGGCAAAACTGTATCACGAATAGGCAGAAGCAATGTAGACTACCTTGGCTGAAAACGAGAGATATAGTCTGGATGTCAGAAGGAAGAGAAATATAGACACAATGACACCTGTGAATTGTAGGGTAGAAAGAGAAAAGAAATAAAAGTCATCATTGCAGTTGGTATTTCTCATCAGGCTCTCATCAGCAACCATGCAGTGCTGCTGGATTGACAGGAGAGATTAGAAGGAGATAACAGAGGCTGTTTGCTAATGTGGGGATTACAGATGGTAAAGGTCTTTTGGTCAGTGTTTACACATTTATTTGGGACATATATTCATCCTATATTCTACTTAATACTCTGTCAAGAAAACATCTTTTTAATAGAAATTGAGCATTATGTTTAGAGGACCAGAACCAAGAATAGCAATATTTCTTCCACATGGGGCTGACGAAACAAGAAGTTTGGAAAAGCATCTCCTTCATTGATTTTTCTCTTTTTTCGTCCTTGCTGTTTCCCAATTTAAAGCTGCTATTTTCTGGGAAATATAGTTCCCTTTTAAAAACTAGTCTATATACTTGGAGATCATTATACCAGATCATTAGATCTGGTCAGGGGAGATAAAAGTTATCGCCCATACATGCTCAGTAAGATATAGGGCTATAATCTAACCCAGGTCCAGGAATTCTCATTTAGTTTCATCCAATATTAATTGAGAACTCAATACGTGCCTGGCATTATGCTGGATACAGCACAACAGGCAGTATTATATTAATTAGTGTTAACAAAACTAAAAATAATGCCATTTAGTCAGCTCTCCAGATCGCAGAATCTTATAGATCAGTTGGAAACAATAATTTCCTGAAAAGGGATTATGCTTAAAATTAACTAGCACATTGCTTCCCTGAAAAGAAAATACCATGATTCTTTACCTCTGATAATATACCATTTCTCATATTATACAGTTGTCAGAGAAAGTGCTCCAAAGAGAAAAAAGAAGGAACATGGATATGGTATCAAACAAAGAGAACAACAGGCCATTATCTGATCATCCCACCTGTCAACTAGATAGTCCCAGTTGAGTTGTATCCAATTCCAGGCCATGGTCTTCCCATAGCTGTTATATGAGATGTACCGGATGACTGTGAACACATCCTGAGTTCTAATAAGGTTTGTGTCCTTGAGCATATCCAAATACCTGTGAGAAGCCAAAGAGAAAAACAATTCAAAATGAACTTTTAATGTTCACCCTTAGCTAAATTCCAATACAACCTAGCTTTCATTCCAGCAATTCAATTCTTGAGGCATCAACTGACAAATTTAATTAAATATGACAAATGATGAAAAAATTTTTTTAATTTTCTAATATGTGTAACTGTTTTTACCAGCACCACAGTGTCCCATGTGAGCTAACTGGCCAGCCCTTGTTTAACTGTTTTTTAAAGAATGACTTATGATTTTGAGGACTAGTGAAATGTAAACTATAGAAACATTTAAAAACTACCTTATTTTGGAAGTACTAAAATAAGAACACAGAATTTTAACTTGATCTTTTGAAATACCACTTATTGCATAGAAGCAATTCACCTGTTATTCCACTAAATTAAAAAGAAAAAAGTAAATTAAGAGAAATTATTTATGCTTTTATTTTCTAGAACAGTTAGACCTTGTTTGTTCTTCCCTAGATCATAAAAAACAACCTTATAAGGTAACCTATGGTTAGATTAGTTGGCTTTAATTATAGCATAATGCAAATAGGTCCAAGACAAATTAAGTGACCAAATGGATAGATTTTATTAAATTTGTGCCATGGCTGCACCTAGAATTACATTTCTAGCCCAAGACCTTACAAGTTAATATTGTTATTCAAAAAGTGTTTCCGAATAAGATCGGCACATATTTTGTTCACTAAGAGAAGGCACCTCAAAAACAGATACCTACTGCTGATAGATATATTTTCATATTCTCCAAGTCTTGCTGCCCCATGGCTTCTTACCCACTGGCTTGATTTATTTATATCTTTAGGCCAATAGGAGATCATAGCTACAACAAAGGGATCACTGTTAAACTTGAGTTGTGAGATAGTTCTGAGAGTCAGCCTTTGTCAAAGAGAAGAGATGTTTCTAAATTTCCTATGTTTTTATTAGTATATCAAGAGCCAGACTAGCATACTTGACTATAGAAATTTACCCTAAGTGAGACTGGAGAAAACTCAAGCTCTAAGGGAAGTCCATGCCACATGGGAAACTGGAAAACACCACTCCCTCTAGTCCCAAGGGAAAAGGACTGTCATTCAGTATCTACCTTTGTACTACGTCAAAATGGCATGGGAGTGTGAATTGTACATTCTAGGTAGATGAGGTGAATATGTTAATGTATTTAAGATAATACTCCTTGCTCCTTTGACTTGTGGGTACTGTGTAGGGGAGACTAGAAGTTTCTTAATAAAATGCAGGGATGCTGCAAGGGCTGTTGGGAAGACAGACATGCCATGCAATGCAGGTGTTCGTGAATGGAAGCAAATGACTGGGGCTACAGTTTTTGTCTTTGGATGGCAGACAGGGCTCCAGCAGGTAAAATGTGATCAATGAAAAATCAGTGGGCTCTGGTCCAAGACCAAACTAGGTAAACAGCTTAAGGCAAAACCAGGAAGGACCAGAGGTCCCTTTTCCCATCACCACAGGATGACTTATTCCCCTGTATACAGAAGGAAAATGAGGAAAGGAATGGATTCTAAAGACTGAACATTTACTCCAAGAAGACTATTTAAACTAGAATTCTAGTTTAACAACTGATTTAAAAACTAGACTGACAGACAAAAATACTCAATGCCAGTTGTTCCTCATCTTACTGGCTCATCAACCCCGGTGTGAGAACTCTTGAGAACAATCAGATAGGAAATAAAGACACTACATTTTCTTTGTACTTGCAGTTATTTGGGTAAATGAAAATACAACCATTTATCATACGTTTCAGATAAGAAAGGAATTCCAGGGAAGCTTTTACTGCAGCCTGGGTTTGCTGCAGAATCTTCTTTTGCTCTGGTCATCATTCAAAACTGGAAGACTATAGATGGCTGAAGTAACACACTCAAATGTGGGATATATTGACTCCAAAACTTAAAGAAAGCCACTGCATGTGACTGAAAACTACCTACCTCCAGAATTTTTTCATATAAGATCACACTCTATATGGTTTAAGCCAATCTTAACGATATTAATATTAATCTTAATATTTTGTTTCTTGCAGGGATAAAAGCTTTTTAATGAATTTTTGAGGAAGTCATTATACTTTAATCAGAGTTTTAAAGAGATTGACACATAAAGTATTGACTACCATTCGTATAAGTGAAATAAAAGCCGAACTTACCTTGACAAAAGGGTAACATTCTTCACACATGCTAATCCATACAGCAGTTTTTCTTTTTCTTGAGCTAATGAAGTTTTCTGGTATTGCTCAAGAGTATAGTTCCATGAAGTCTCATTGCCAGAGTTCTGCATCCCATATCGATACACCAGAAGCCTGAGATTTACAGGAAGACTGGAAGACGAAACAGTGTTTGAGAGATTTAAAGGACTCATTTCTCAGTTTAAAGTCTTCCCGAAATGAAAACAAGACCAATAGTCACCTGACATTCCCACTTAGCCACTGATCAAATAATTTAGAAGCATTGTCCAAGGCTTCTCTGTCTCCCATCTTGCATGCGAACCCCAACACGGAGGTACGGAGTAACCTTAAAAAAAAACAACAAGCACAAAGCCGGGCCTTAAGCACTTTCAACATGTCTTAAAACACACGATCAAATGTTAAAGGAGTATTAGTTTTAAAAAGGCAAAAATAACTTTGTGAGGTGGTCTCCGGTATCATCCCATCCTAGAGAATCAGCAATGGGCTTCACTTGACCTTGGAAGTATTCCTGAAATAAAAGCATCATGTACAATGAGTGATAATTTACCATTTATCAACAGTGCCCCCTATTGTAATCTTTTTTCCTACTAGTTCAAAAAACTTTAAGCCTGTCCTTAAGAAGGAATGTATTCAGTTTTTGTCACTTTTCCATTTTGCTTCAGTCCTAAAGATAGAAGCCATTCTGGATCTTTCTCTAAGGATTTATAAAATTTGGGGGAAGTCCCTTTTAACCTCCATTTCTTAGTTAACATATGTAATACATAGAAAAACACTTGACATACTTCCAGTACCAAGAAGATTGTCCATAAAATAATTTTAAAAGCTAGTATTTGTATATTGCTTTAGTTTTACAAAGGACTTTTATATTGTTTGATCCTCACTATTCATTACCATAGTCAGGCAAGTGCTGATGTTCCTATTGAAGAAAGGAAATTAAGACTTACAAATATTAAGTCATTTGTCTAAGTTCTTTCACTTATTAAGTGGAAGAGCTAGAGATTTAAATCCAGAAATTGTTTATTTATTTATTTATTTATTTATTTTGTCTTTTTTCGTGTCCGGCAATGGATCGCAACCCTCAGTGTCGCACCCGTACCGGACCGGGACCGGCAACGGGATCGCAACCCTCGGTGTTGCACCCATACCTCGCTCAGCCAGTGAGCGGGAACCGGTCTGTATGTGGATCCGAACCCTCGGCGGGAGCGCTGCTGCACTCCCAAGCAGCGCACTGTAGCAGTGCGCCACCGGGCTGGCCCCAAATCCAGAAATTGTTTAAAACTGCAACTGTCCTACCAAAGTGCTACAGAAATCACAATGTTATTTAGAATGACTCTCTTATAATAAAATCTTTATGTGAAAATAACAGTAGTAAAAATGGCCCCAAATCCAGAAATTGTTTAAAACTGCAACTGTCCTACCAAAGTGCTACAGAAATCACAATGTTATTTAGAATGACTCTCTTATAATAAAATCTTTATGTGAAAATAACAGTAGTAAAAACAGGGAAATATAATGTTATATTTTGGTAACAATAAATTCATTTTAACATAGATAAATCCATTTAAAATAGGATCTAGTTAACATTTATAATTTAGAATGAATAATTTAAATAAAAAATTATTGTATTCATTCTAACGCTAAAATATACCTTTAAGTGGTATACTGAACCACAAATACTAATACACTTTAAATGGAAAAAGAATGGATAACATGTCTTTGCTTTGATGAGTCACGTCATGACACTTTCCTTTGATTTCACTTGGGAGGCAGATATGCTTTTGCATCACCCAGGAGCAACTTCCCTCAGAAAGCATTTTCTTCTACTAATGGCTAAGCATTTACTTTCATAAGATATCACAGCATGAACATCACCTCAATTATAGGGTATAGCTCTTGATCATCTTCAAACATGCTAATGATGTAGGTTACAGCTGAAATTACTCTCTGCCACGGTAAATAATCCCCTTCGCTTGTGAGATACTTAGTCAAGTTCAGAGGCACCCGATAATCTAGAAGTTGAGCTCTGAGGAGAAAAAAAAACACGGTTAATTAAAAACTATAGACTTTAGTTTCCATCCGACTAATAATACTAATATGGGAATCGTAGTTCATCAAATTAATGAGGATTCTTCCATCAGTAAATTAAGAAACTGCATATATTGTTGAGACCCAATCAAAGAATTTTGTTCAAAATGATGTATCAGAGCTTTCATACATTCAGGAGTAAGGAGGAAGATGACATTAAGATGTACATTTGAAAAGTGACTATAGCAAATTTTCAAATAAAACGAAAGCCATTTCACTATACAGTTAATATTAATAAATAGAAACTTTAAAAGTTTAGGTTCACAAGCTGATTATAATATACAAATGCCACTATAAATGTATTATATTGAAATTATTTATAATTGCCTGTGAGGAGGAAGCGTGAGCAACAGTACTCATGAATATGGATGCTTGCGACATTCAAAATTGAACTTATATTTTCCTTTATTACATCTCCTCCCTTATACATTTCCCACTAATCTTCATAAATAAAAATAAACTCTTTTCTTTCAAAAAATTTAAAAATACTATTTTTTTAAAGAATAATACTTTATTACTGTTATAATTTTAAGAAAACATAAGCAACTGAATAGCTTCTGAAAGTCAAAAAGATGGATTTTTTCAATTGCATTTTCTTTTTATCTTATTATTTTAAAATTTATTTGTTCATATTTGTGGGGTACAATGTGTTGTTTCAATACATGCATGTATTGCACATGCATATATTATACAATGTTTCACTTAGAGTAGATAGCCTATCCATCCTCTGAACACATCTTATTTTTGTGGTGATAAGTCAAGATACTCTTTTCTAGTTATTTATTTTTTAATTGGCACAAATTGATTTTACATATTTATGGGTACAGAGCTATATTTCAATACACATGTACAATGTTTGATGATCAAATCAGGGTAATTAGCATATTCATCATTGCAAAAATTTATCATTTCTTTGTGAGGAGAGCATTTGAGCTCCTCTCTTCTAGCCAGTTGAGAACATATAATAAATTACTGTTAATTATAGATGAATAGAACTACTGTAGATGACTAGAACTCATTTTTCCTAACTAGCTGTGATTTTGTATCCATTAAACAACCTCCCTTCCCTGCCTTCCCCCTCTCCTTCCCAGCCTCTAGTAACCACAGTTCTGCTCTTTTACTTCTTTTTGGTATTCGCACGTGAATGAGAACACACTGTATTTGTCTTTCTGTGCCTGACTTATTTCACTTAACATAATGTCTTCCAGTTTCCTTCATGTTGCCACAAATGACAGGATTTCATTCTTTTTTATGGCTGAGTAGTATTCCATTGTGTATGTATACCACATTTTCTTTATCCAGTCATCTATTGAGAACACCTATGTTGATTGCATATCTTGGTTATTGTGAATAGTGCTGCAATAAACATGGGGTTGCAGATATCTCTTTAGTATGCTAATTTCCTTCCCTTTGCATAAATACCCAACAGTGAGGTTGCTGGATCATATGATACTTCTGTTCTTAGCTTTTTGAGGAATCTCCATACTGTTTTCCATAATTCGCTGTACTAACTTACAGTTCTACCAACAGTGTATAAGAATTCCCTTTTCTCCACATCCTCACCAGCATTTGCTATTTTTTGTCTTTTTGATAATAGCGATTCTTACTGGGGTGAGATGATATCTCATTGTGGTTTTGATTTGCATTCCCTGATGATTAGTGATGTTGAGCATTTTTTCATATATACCTGTTGGCCATTTGTGGGTCTTCTTTTAAGAAATGTCTATTAAGGTACTTTGCCCATTTTAAAACAAGATTATTTGTTTATTTGCTGATGAGTTGTTTAAGTTCATTGTATATTTTAGATATTAATCCCTTGTCGGATGCATAGTTTGCAAATATTTTTTTCCCATTCTGCAGGTTGTCTCTTCACTATGTTGATTGTTTCCTTTGCTGTGCAGAAGCTTTTTAGGTGATGTAATCCCATTTTTCTATTTTTGCTTTCATTGCCTACCCTTTAGAAGTCTTCTCCATAAAATTTTTGCCCAGACTAATGTCTTACAGTGTTTCCCCTGTGTTTTCTTCTAGTAGTTTCATAGCTTTAGGTCTTACATTTAAGTCTTTAAACCATGTTGAGTTGATTTTGGGATTTCATGAGAGATGGGGTCTAGTAAGCTGTCCTCTTTGCCATTCTTCCTGCCAGCCAGTATTCTCTGTTTTCCCTTACATGATGACCCACCCCTCTCCTGGCTGTGTCAAACAGTGGGCTGCTGAGCACAATATCTGCTACTGAGAAAAAAAACAAAAGAAAAACGAAATTGACTGGAGTGACAGGTGAGGAAAAAAGGATTCTTTCTGTCTCCATTTTGGCATGGCCCCAAGACTAGGTCCCTTGGTCTATGCTTCAAAGTAAGATGCAAGACCACCAAAGCAGGACCAACATGGCCAAGAACAGGTCATAGTGACCTTTAGCTGATAACCTGCCACCAGACTATAAAAGAGGCTGGACAGCTAAGTGGGAGAGTGAAATTTTAGTAGAGGGCTTGTAGAGAGTGCTATGGGTGTACTGTAATGCTCTCTCCTCCAAGGGAGAGTGCTAAAAGATGCTTTTCCCTCAGATTAAGCCTAAGAAAAGGGGTTTCAGTGGGACAACTCAGAGTTTTACCTGTGTTTACTGGAATTTGGGAGCACAGTGGCCTAGTGTCTGATACCCGAGAAATCTAAAGGATGAGAGATCGTGGTTGGCTAGTGCTCTGACCTCAGAGTGAAGAGATGGGACTGCATTGGGTGGCCTGTCCTCCCAGACATTGTTGGGGCAAATGACACATGGATACTTCCAATGGAGCAGAAGTGGGTTGGAGGTTTTTACTTGCCCACCTCAAGGAAGCTGCAGGAGAAAGACCCTCGGCAATGAAATAGGTGTGGGTGGCAAAAATCTCATGAAAACTCCATGCAAGGAAAAGAGTCAGCAATAAACATCTAAACAAAGTTCAAAAAAGACCAAAAGTAGATAGCACATCACAGTCTTTCTTCCTCTCATCCATTCTCCCTGCCTGTTCTTCTTGTCTTAACTTCAAAGAACTACAGGGAGTGTGGTGAGTGTGGAGAAGCAGCAGAAGCTCCAAGCAGGGAAAAGAGAGGGAAATCAAGTGTCCCATTCCTGCTGTGGGTGGCTGACAGAGGTGGGGGCAGGGAAAAACTTTAAATGAAGTAGAAAGCTTTAACAATTTTACTTGACTGGGCATATTATGGAACTAAGATGGCATGGGGGGACTAGAAGTGATGGGGTGAACTTTTATTCCTCTCCTTGACCAAAAGAGTCCTGTGCCCAGCCAGGGCGGTAAGAGCAAGTACTAGCTCTTCAAATCAGGTTTGAAGGGATGGGACAGGGGAATAATGAATATATTTATTTTCAGATGCACCATTTAAGTCCGGATTATTAAACATAATACTGTAGTTTTATTTCTTTTTAAACACCTACGTAGACCTGCCACAGGTACTTAACCTATAAAACTAAATGTTTCTGCGTTTTTCCCCTCTAAAGTTTCAGCATGGTGTGGACACAACTCTAACTCTGGTGGAGCCTGTCATTCTCCGAGTCCCCCTTTCCTCAAGAGCTGCAGAAAGAAATAGGGCCAGGTGATAGCTCAAGTATTTTCCAGCTCTGTTGTTGTGTGATCCTATGTATGTTTTGGTTTTAAATTTGTTTCACTTTCTTCCTTTCCACAGCTCTTCAAAATTTTATGTGGCTGTGGCCAAGGAGCTGAGCAAATGCGAGAAAGTCTTTCAATAGTGTGAGTTACTTGCTTTATACACAGTTCCTCAGAGAGAGTTGTTCAAGAGGCTTTCACTTCATCTTAAAGCAAAAAGAACTGTCTGTGTTGTGTTGTGATGGGAATTAGCTATAGAGATTTTACAGTTCTTTGTAATTTCTAACAACCAAGAAGCTGAGCTTTGGAAAAGGTGCATTCACAGGAGAGTTTCCCAGAAAAAAATTCTAAATGATTCCTTATGTTTTAAAATACCTATTGATTATATTCTTTCATCACTTAATTCTCTAGTCTCTGCAAAGTGCTTGGCACATAGTAGGTGCTCAATACGTATTTTTTAAATGAGTGAGTGGCATACTGTAATACAATGAAAGTAATTAATCTATTCCCTATCCAGGAGACTAAACTTGGATATTCACTACAGAGCATCTTATTGCTGTAAAAAAGAAATACAAAGGTAATCTAGATCAAATTGAGAATAGCATTTTTAAATGCATCTTTGTTGTTAAATCAATAGTGGATGCATTTTGGTCAAGTAATGTAATTTATCGAGTACTCTACTCTTTGGGGTGCTTTATATTTATTATCTCATTTATTCCTCAAAAGAGTTTCATGAGGTCATCTCCATTTTACTAATAAAGAAAGTGATCCAGAGAGGTTAAGAGACCTACTCAAAGTGATATGGAATCATGATTTCAATCAGGTTTAGGAGGCTGTTTTTTAACCATATAATTCCTTCCTTGAAAAACATCAAGGAGATTTCTAACCTCCAATATACTGTCTAGGAAGTCTATGTAAACTTCCTCTCCCATGTCTTTAGTACGATTATACTATCCTTCCAGCCATCTATTCAGCCAGTATTTATTGAACATCAACTATTATTAGCTACATACAGTCAGGAGCTGGGTGTGGGTGCCTATCCTTGTGAAACGTAAAGTTTGATGGGTGAAATGGACAATTAATAAGCAACGACAATATAATATTCTGGGGAAATATAAGGGCACATAAGAGGGATACTGAACCCAAACAAAGAGGCCATAGGAGGCTACCTAAGGAAGTGCATCTCATTCTCAGTATATTGCTTATAACTAGAATGTGGGAGCCTCAAAGCCAGAGAAGTAAAATTGGCAATGTCCCAAGCTCCTGCAAAGGGCCAGAAACTCAATAAATGCTTGTTAACTTACTGGTGTTAGACTACCTGAAAAAAAATTTAGAGGTACCATGGTTACTACTCCTCAATTCCCCTAATCTATGATGATTATCTTTTTCTAAGTGCAGATTACTTTAGGCCTTGAGAAAGAAGTCAAATTTCCTAAATGGTACCTTAATTCTGATCAGTCCTAGAACACCATGGCTCGTTCTTCTTACCCCAATGACCTGAACAAGACTTGACAATTCTAGCCACTGAATCTTACAGTGGACTTGGGCTCACATAATTGAATTAATGAAAAACATTCTTTGTCTTTTTATTAAATCAAATTATGACGTTGTACTTTTGAGCATTTGCAAACATTACTCCTAATTAGCTCAAGTATTCTGATATAGACAAACCATACTCAGAATCAATAGGGTGGGTGAGCTTTTTGTGGACATATAAGGGCTAATATCAGTATTTTAGCTCTAAGGCTCATATGACCTTTTAAAAAGAGGGTTAAGAAAAACAGTAACATTTTAAATAATGACTTTGGATATTTTAACCTAAATTGATTAGTATTTAGATGTTATAATCTGTTTTTTAAAAGATTTTATGATAAAACCCACAGTCTTTTAAGTGATCTGGTCTCATTCCAAAACGTACCTTGCCAAAGCAAAAGCATCATCAATCAGACTTGCACGATCGGCAGAAGAAAAGGTCTGGGAGAAGAAAAAGAAGAGGTAAGAAACATGATTCCTAAGACAAAGTGTATTGAAAAATAATTAATATCATGAAGATGCTGTTCTTAGAACAAAAGTGAAACAATTTATAACCATTGCTATCTCTTACCTCGTGGTAGACAGAAAGATTTAGAGCTATCGAGTCCCAAATTGATAGTTCATAATTTACACGATAAAACCCAATATGATCTGGGTTTATTTTGAGAAAACCATTTCCACTAGTATTAGAAGAGTTCAAAGTGATTCCTGTGGAGTAAATAAACACTAATGAGAACCATGTTTGCATATATTGTAAACACAGAGAAATTAGACCCAGAGGGCAAAAAGAAAAGAAGAGAAAAGAAATATTAGCTCAAGGAGTCAAGTTTGATTTGGATCCAAAGCCCCAAAACCTAATTCTTATTTATTTGCCTAACTTTAGAATGTCACTGGAGTGAGCTAAAAAAGAAATGTCACGTAAATCGATGTCCTATAATTTGTGACTTCTTACTGGCAGAAGCTTGCCAAATGAGTGAAATAATCCTGGGCTGGTCGATCCTTCAATAAAAGAAAACAATGCCTAAAGACAGAGAAGTCCATGCCTTCAGGGGTAGTCAATATATTCCTAACAGTAGTAGGTTAATTACACAAAGAATATTCACTGGAGATGCCTGAGGAGGGGATAAAAATGTAAACATTTAAAAAAATATTTCATTGAAGTTAACATTCAAGTTGATGGAAATGGCTGTTGTTAAGTAAATAGTGATTTGAGAATCAGTAACTCTTAAAATGTCAAGAAGGCTTGCAATAGAATTGAAATCCAAATACAGCATTCTTGATTTTGTAATTAATTTCATACTTGCTCCTCCAATTTTATTTTTATTTGTAAAGTCTCCTACTTCCTTATTTCAATTGATTACATCAATGCTTTTTCATCAATGGATTTACCACATTAACTTTCTTTCTAAAGTAGCATTTGATATTTACACAGGGCTCCAGTACATAGATTTTAGAAACCCAACATCGAAGGAACAGAGACTTATGTTTTAGGAAAAAGAAACACACTTAAAATAATAGGTATGCTCTGATATGACCAGTGTTTCTTAGCATTACTCCTACATTTTTCAATTCATATACTCTTTTGTCTCCATGAACAATAAACAACTTAAATAATGGTATGGGAACAGTTAGTATATGTAAGGAATTTCAAATAGTTTAATGTAGGGTGTGACACTGGAAATAGGAGAAGAGGCTGGAAATAACTATCAGTGCTTCACTGTGAAGAGCCACGTGCCGCATTAAGGAGTCCATCTGCTGAGAGCTGGGATGATTTTTAGGCAGGGAAATAACATGATCAAGTCTGTTTTCTAGAAAGGTAATTTTGACAGTGATATGGGAGATATTTTGGAGGGGATCCTAGAGGCAGGAAGACTAACTCAGAGTCCACTGTAATCTAGGGCTGGAGAGGATGAGGGTTTATACTACTGTGGAGATGATGAAAACTGAAAGCAGGTGATGTATTCAAGAGTCATATCACAGGTAAAATCAACACTGTTTTTTGGACTTGATGTGGACAGGGGAGGAGGGAAAATGGCTTGCATGACTGGATGAATAATGGTGCTGCTATTGGAGACTAGAGGAAGGTGAGTCATTTGGGGAGGAAAGATGATTTAAATTTTGGAAGTGTTTGCACGATCTGGAAGATATCCAGGACACAGTAGTTTTTCATAATATATGAGTAAGCTCTTCAGCAAGACAATAAGTTTCTTTAGGAACTTTCAGAGTAGGTACTTGACAAATTATAAACCCTTACCTCACTCATGTAGTATTTATCTTTCTTTGTCATTCTCTCACGGACAAGTTGTTGAAAGAAAACTAATCTTTTGGCAACCGTGTGCTCAGAATGTTTGCATCAAGAGGAGAGTCTCTTGCTAAGCGTGAAGGCATATGTTACAAGAGAAAGAGCATGAACTTTGAGTCTGACAGAACTAGGATAAGATCCTTGCTCTGTGACTTACTAGCTGTGTGACCTTGGCCAAATCACTTGACCCCTCTGTGTTCCAGTTCTCCAGGAGGGAAATAGGGATAAAAATTCCTCACAGGCCTGTTGTGAAGATTAAATAAGATAACATAGGTAAAGTGTTGGTCACCTAGTTACGTGTTATGTGTCCGACAGATGGTAGCTATCCCCATTATTGTGAAAGGAGATAGGCTGCCAGTTCTATAAATAGCGAAGCAAATATAAATAACACTGAGATGTTCCTGGCAATCCATCTAAATACTGCAGTGTTTTAGTGTGCTTTATATATACCTAGTAAAGCCTGTGTAGAGTTACTGTGATTTTTCTCAATTTATAGATGAGGAAGCTGAGATCCAGGAAGTCAGCAGTTAAGGACTTTCCAAGTTCATGCTACTTTCAGAACAGTTGTCAACAGCAAAATATTGTTGGGTTGTTCAGTTACATAATGAAGTAAGTCAGACTGAAATACTGATGCCTTTTCCTGGTGACACTTAACAGTAAGGGAGTACATTTCCTTCTGTTTCTCTGTTTACTACTTGTTTTTTTCTGATTATAACAAAAGTATGTGTTCTTTATGGAGCACTTGATAAGTATTAAAAAAAAGTATAAAGAAGAATATAAAAATAACCTACCACAGTTAACACGTTTTCATTGTCTGTGTATGTTATGTGTGTATCTTCCATGTACACTCACACAAACACACAATGCACATAATGAGACTCTTCTTTTTTTATGGTTAGTAATCCTTTTTCATCTGAAATTATATTAATGCCTTCTAATTTTATTTTATATATTTGAAAATGTAAATTTAATGGCCACAAAACACTCTGTCACTCAACTTATAAATGGTTTGTTCTGTTTTTTACTAATTCTATGCATAAAAGTGTTGAATAAATTATTTCTGGGTAGGGGCTCTTTCTAGGAAATTCTTTTTTTTTTTTATTACTTGTCTAAATGATAGAGAAGACTGATAATTACCTTTTCAAAATTTCATCTAGAGGCCATTTAATTTCATCCCCAATACATTTCAGTAACAGAGAACACATGACAATTTTTTAATGTTACTATCATCTATTAATAATTAGAACAAGTTTTAGACAAGTAGACAGCTTGTAATAGCTGGAGCTTTCTAGAAAAACAAATATTTTCCTTAATGATATAAATGCTGTGTTGCATTAATTCTTTAAGCAAATTATTTTTCAGTGTAAAATGACAGAGCTTTTATCTTATGAAATTTTGTGCATCACTTAACAGTAAAATAGCTGAAAGACACATGAGTAGTACTTTTTGACTAATGACACACAAAGTACACTTGAAGAGCTAAAAATTTCAAGTAGGGTGCATTATCAGAATTTAGGGTCAAATATGATAGTTGTGTTGCAATTGTTTACATGCCTGCATCACCCAAAAGACTGTAAGCCCCAGAGGACAAGGACCAAGACCACCTAGTTTGTATTTGTGTCCCCAGTACCTGGCATTGTGTCTGGAATTTAGTAGTCATTTTAAAAAATACTTGTTGCTCTTGCCAAAAACCAAAATGGGTAACTATGCAAGATGGTGGATATGTTAATTTGCTTCACTATAGTAACCATTTTACTATCTATATGTATCCCATAATACCATGTTGTATACCTTAAATATATACAATAAAATTTATTTAAAAAATAAATAAATAAATAAATAATTTGGGGCCGGCCCAGTGGCGCACTGCTACAGTGCGCCGCTTGGAAGCGCAGTGGTGCTCCCGCCGAGGGTTCGGATCCCACATACAGACCGGTTCCCGCTCACTGGCTGAGCAAGGTGTGGGTGCAGCACCGAGGTTTGCGATCCCATTGCCGGTCCCGGTCCAGTACGGGCGCGACACTGAGGGTTGCGATCCATTGCCGGACACGAAAAAAGACAAAAAGGAAAAAATAATAATAATAAAAATAAAAATAAAAATAAATAATTTGGGGTTAAGGAAGAAAATTGCAATCTCTGAAACTAAGGCTAACATAATCCATTGTAAAATGGATTGCTTATCCATTTGTGGTAATGTTTTCAACAAATTACCCATTCAAGAAAGTATTCAAGATTGTATTAGCGAGTCTGCCTGAAAAGAAATGTGTAGTTTTAATACATAATCTGCAATGAACAGGAATTTGGAAAAATAAAACCTGCCTGCGATGAGGAAGGATTATCATTAGTGATGATTTCAGAGATTGGGGAGAATAATTACAAAGGAGAGTTGCACAGTGAAGATCTGTTAGTGTGTCTCCAGTCTGCCCAGGGAAGCAGGTACCAAAATGAGCGGGCACATGTGTTCCAGGCCTTTCGACAGGTCAGGTCTTATAGAGAACAGTGTATATGGCAAAGACCAGTTAGTTGTTTACCACACTGTTCCTTTTCCTCATGGGTACAGAACTAGACTATATGTATTAGCCTTCCTTGCAGTTAGGTAGCAGCACATGATTGAGAGCTGGCCATAAAATGTAGGCAGAAGTAATAGATGCACTTCTAAACCTTGCCTCTCTGTTATCTTCCCCTATCTTCTATCCAGATGCAAAAGATCCAGCAAGGGGTTCTAAGATCCAGGAAAGAACTAAGACAGCATTTCTAAGTCACTATTTGGTGGAGAGCCACCTAGGAGATATGGCTGGTTAGGAATACCTCCTTTGGATCGTTGCACGGACAAGAAACTTTTATCACATCAGGCCACTATTGAAAATGTCTAAGAGCAATAATTAGATTCACCTGGCTAATGCAATATATCAAGCTGTCACAATCTGATGACATTTCTAAAATAATTGATCAACCTTAACTCTCCTATAATCCTTACTAAGTAAACTTTCTTCCTGTGAAGAGATGCCTAGTTATCTGACATGAGTATTCTAGTTCACTAGGCCAGTATATTTTATCTGTGTAAATTAACAAATTAGCATTATTTGTTAATCTCTTGTATGTTTGGTTTATGTGAATAAGTCTTCCAAGACTAGGTACATCAGGACTGAACTGATGACTTGAACTCTGAACCAACAAAACTGAATCCATAATCATCCAACAAAAGTTTGTACATTTCATGAGCTGAGCCTGAAAAAATGAAAAAAGTCCTTCACTCTCTATCATCAAATAGAAAATTACATGCCCATCATTGTTTAAAATATTGCTATTACAGATTTTTTAGTAAATCCTATTTCTATGATAGTCAGAATTTGGTTATCTAAGCCATCCATAGTACATCCTCAAATCTGGAAGTAAAAGTTATGAAACCAATCATCACCAAGTCCATACCATCTCCTAGGCCTTAGACCCTCTCCCAGGCCCTATGCACTTAGGAATGTCTATTTTAAAATATTATATTTTAGCAAGATTGTTTACCTGATATTGTTTGATAACCTTCAATCCCAAATGTCAGAAAGCAGAAAATTAAAAGCAAAAAAGTGGCATACTTCTAAATGTAAATGCATTGAAAACAGCCAAAATAGTAGCTGATACTAAAGATAGAGATATAACTACAATATACACAGACAACTTTGAAAAGCACAGCAGTCTGGGGCAAAGAAGGCTTAATTAAGCAAAGACTTACTAAATTCTTAGGATGTGCATAGCACCTTGTTGGTAATAGGTTGGACAGGGGACAAGAAATATGATGTGTAGTTTGTGTCTTCAAGGAGCTCATAATTTAGTTGAAAAAGAAAAGAGAGAGCATATGAAGTTTGAGAAACAATGATTCTGTTTAAAACATGAAGTAATAACAGTGGAAATGAGGACTGATGAAACTGACAGCGTAAAAATACCATAGACAGTGAGAGGAGAGATTATTCAAAGTAGGTTGGAATAGCCAGAAAAGGTTTTGTGGTAGAGGTCCCCTTCTTCTTTTACAAATTGCATGTTTAATGTTTTTTTTAATGCTTAAAATATCACATACAATGCAAATGTAAATAAAAGACCTTGGGGGAAGTCCCACTATTGCCTGGGGAATTTCTAAAAGATGAGTCATCAAAGAAACCAAGAGGAGGGAGGTAGGACTGGTAACATGAGCTGGTTGCCCATTCAGTACATTCAGGACATGTTCGTCATCTGTGCTCTGAGCTGAGAGCTGAAGATGTCCTCAAACAGGAAACAGGAACTTATTGCATAGCCTAAAAATGGAGCAGGCACTTTGAAGTAGGAAGAGATGTCTAGTTTGCTTCTGGCTAAGTGACCAGTCATGATTCTGAAGTTTCAGATAAAGGTAGGTCTGTCATCACAGTTCTGTGAACATGAGAGCCTCTTCATTCAATTGTTCAGTCATTCATTCATTCAATAAACAATTATTAGGTGCCTGCTGACAGTGCCTGCTGGAGATACAGAACAAGGAATAAGTTCCATTTCCTCGAGGAAAATTCTGTGAGAAGGGGAGACACAGATAAGTCCATAGATATAACAAACAAACAAAAAAAGTGTTAAATGTAATGACAGTGGGATAGAGAGGAGTGCAAGAGCTCCCTGCTCTCTCACTTTCACAGTCACACTCTGTCCAGAGCGCCTGTCCCCTCCACACACTTGGTCGATCACCCATTTAGTCCCTGCACTCTCGCCTAGGTGTTCTTTTCTTTAGTAACCTCCCTGAACCCCCAAATCTAGTCTGTTGCTTCTCCTGTAAGTGCCCTGGCCTTCTTCCATTATGACACCAAGTACTGATGACACAGAATTATATCTGCCTGATGAGCCATCCCTAGACAGTCATCTACGCAAGGTGAAGGACTGTTTTGTTTTTGTTTTTGTTTTCTCCCCCAGCATTATCTCCACACCTACCTCTGTGTCTGGTATTTAAGTTAGTTTTTAATAAACACTTACTTGAAAGAATTAATTAATTAAGGTTACATTCATTATTCCAAATATTCTTTCTAATAAGTACATAATACATATTAGAACAATGTTTATTGTGAACTCTTGAAATTTATTTTATGAAGCACTTGAGTTAGCTATAGTTATCTGGAAAATTCACTTGTAGAGAAACCTCACTCCATGAAAATGCTGGATAAACTGTGTTAAGGTTGATGAATTATTCATGCTTTTAAATTTGTAAACAGCAAATCAAGCAGCTGCTGAGAAATTCTCCCAAACCTTAATTAACCATGGTAACCAATGGGGAAAATATGTACGAATGTAACCAAATTTACTGAAAACCTCCCAATGAAATCCTAACCTTCTTGTCCTGCTGCCAGTGCTGTTAAACATTATTAAGTGTCTTTTTTCTGTCTTCTTCACTTTCCTCTGTCAAATGTGCTTATGAGTAAGACAGTGGTCAGAAGATAGACCACAAAGATAGAGCTTGTTATTCAAATACAACATATATATATCAAATAACAAGACAAAATGGCCTTGATCTTGGGAATTTGGAAACAATTCAGAAAAATCATTGACCGCAATGTTATAATAATTGTTAGCATAAATGACCAAGAGAAAACTTTGTTCTAATACCAATCCCTGTCAACAAGGGTTCCAGAAAGGAGTCTTACCTCCATAATAACAAAGGTGTTAGAGTTTGCAGTAAAAATAAAAATCACAAAAGAGTTCATAGTAAAAGAAAGGAAAAAAAAAACCAAAGTTTAAAAAAACCTACTGGATCCAGAAAACCTAGTACATAAGTGTTCATAGCAGCATTATTTATAACAGACAAAAGATGAAAATGATCCAAATATTCATCAACCAATGAATGGATAAACAAAATGTGGTTTATCAATATAATGCAATGTAATTTGGCAATACAAAAGAATGAAGTACTGATAACATGGACAAACCTTGAAAACATTATGCTAATTGAAAAAAGACAGTCACAAAATACTATATATCATTTCATTTATATGAAATATCCAAAATAGGCAAATCCATAGAGGCAGAAAATAGATTAATGGTTGCCCAGGGCCGGGGGTATGGAAAGACAAAGGGGTGATAGCTGATGGGTATGGGCTTCTCTTTGAGGTGATGCAAATGCTCTATTGACTGTGATGATGATTATTCATATATGTGAATATACTAAAAACCACTGGATTTCCACACTTTAAATGGACGAATTGCATGCAATGTGAATTATGTCTTAATAAAGCTAGAAACAGGGTAAAATTTTACTTGCCAGGGGAAATCATACTTAATTAATGTTTTAGAACATTTTTCAGGAGCAAATAGGCATATGCAAATAAGGCATGGGTGATCTACTTTTATCCTTAAGAAGCCAAGGGCGAAAGACCATACCAAATGCTATTCTGAAACTGAGTCCTCATGGGACAGATTTTGAAACACAAAACAAGTATAACAGTAAAAATATAAAAACCAGGATTCTTCTGTGATTAGTGCTGCAACCAGTCTTATTTATATTTTTTTTCAGTGATCTGGAGGTCTGTGATAAGGTCTTGTTTTTATATAACTTTAAAATTTTTTGAGTAAGGAAAAGACAAATCAATGGAGATAGAAAACAGAAATATATTTCAAGAAAATGATTGGTCTAATTTAATGAGAGCATTAAAAAAAACCCAGGCCTATCACATAACATTTTAAGAAATGTAGTGGCTTCCTTATCTGACATAAAGAAAAAAAAAAGAAAGGAAAAAGGAAGAAGGCAAGGAAGGGAGAGAGGGAGGGAAAGGGAAGGAAAGAAGAAAACTTACACACTGATCTTCCAATGGTTGAGTCTGTGGCCCTTCTCCTTTGGATATGGATATTTATTATTGTGTCAATCACAGTAAATCATCAAAAAGAGTATCTTGAGGTAGAAAAGTTCTCATTGTAGATAAAAATTTGGAATCACCAATGTATTATTTAAGAGGACTCTTTTAGCTGAAATTTACATAAGTTCCAGCTGTCTTCTTGCTTCTTTACACTTAGTTTAATGTAGTACATCAATTCAAAGAAGAAATAAATCATTTGATAATATTTACCTCCTTCTTCTGACCTATCGTAGACTATAGTACTGGATACTTTATCTTCAGTCCATTTAACTGGAATATTCCATGTGTAACTAAAATTTTTAAAAAATAAAGATTTTACTTTATTACTAAAAGATAAAAAAATTCAAGTAAAAATAACTAAAAAGCAATAGACAAGCATTTTTGCTTATAAGTGATTATCCAGTCTGTAGAATACAATTAATACAGTTAATACAACACTCTTTAGTGATGAAAATATGCCATGTAATGGCTCTTAATTTCTATAAATCTATAAAATATAGAAATCTGCACCAAAAATTAGCTAAGAATAAAGAAGGTTATTTCCGTAAAATGCTTTGAGGCTTTGGAATAAAGATATTGCATAAATCACATAAATATAACATTATATTATAATATTGAGCATCATGCATATACATGCACAAACTCTAATATGCTTATGCTATATAGTTTCTGTCAAGGAATACAAAAACGTTTTTAGAAAACAATTTGTAAAATGCTATGAAGGAAACGACACATTGTAGAAACTGTTGAAATTATACCAACACCCATATGATCCAGCAATCCTTCTTCTGGGTATATACCCAAAGGAATGGAAATCATCATGTTGAAAGGGTACCTGCACTCCCCTGTTCATCACAGCTCTGTTTGCAATAGCCAAGACATGGAACCAACCCAAATGTCCATTGATAGATGACTGGATAAGGAAAATGTTGTATATATACACCATGGAATACTACTCAGCCATAAAAAAGAATGAGATGCTGCCATCTGCAGCAACATGGATGAGCTTGGAGAAAATCATGTTAAGTTAAATAAGCCAGGCACACAGGGAAAAATACTGCATGTCCTCACCCATAAGTAGGAGCAAAGAGAGAAAGAAGGAAGGAAAGAAAGACCACAGTGATGTCTTTGAGGAGGGAGAGAGCACACCTAGGGCTGCCAGGGGAGTCGGGGGAGAGAGGTCAGGGAGAGGTTGGTTAGGGGGCACAGGGAATAATTGCAATTTGTGGCAATGGGCATGCTGGTAGTATTGATCTGATCATCACATCTTGGGCACAGGTGGTGACAGTCAGCTTTGTATCCATGAATATACATAATCAACAACAACAAAAAATATACCAATACCGTCATCCGCCAAATCTTCTAATGCTCTACTATAAGTATCTCCTGTTTATGATCATGAGAATCAGTGTGCTTCAAAGGAAAAATCATCAGGTAAGCCTGTTTCAAGGATTTTCAGTTGTTCTCTTTAGCTACTTAGTATTTTCTCACGGAGTGGCAGTGGGGGGAGTTAACTTTATATTTTGATATAAAATATACTCAACACTCTTGTGACTCCCTGAGTCACATCATATTGGTCTAGGTGGTCAAATTTTCCTTTGTTCTGGAATGAACCATTAATTTTCAGAACTAGCATTACAGCAAGATCTCCAGGTTTCTCTGAATTTCATTTACTGTGAGCGGGCTGAGTGTCCGAGGCTTCCAGGAGGAGAGGCTGGTAATGGGCCTCAACAGAGTGAGCACAACCAGCTTTCTCAATGCTTTTCCAGTTCAGGTACCAACCTACGTTTTGGAAGTAGCTAATTTAATAATTCTGAGTGCTCTTCATTCTTTGGTGCTTGGACAGTAAAGTACTTTGGCAATTTTAATTTTTGGAAACACCTGAGTATGCTACTGGTGTGACTTAATTCCCAAAGCCCTGCAGTGTAAGCCAGAAAACAGGTTCTGTTACCTGCCTCATAGAGTCCAAATCATAGAGCGTGTCAATAAACTTCTTTCAGTTCTCTAGAAATATGAGTATGACTACTATAGTAGATGAGGACAATATCTGAAATGAAGATTGTTCTCTGAAAATTAATTTGAGTGAATTCCCTCCACATTATATTTATTTTTTAATTAGAAAGTTTAGCAACAACCAAATCTTTGGAACACCTGACACACCTTTCTAGCCCATGGCCATGCTCCTAGTCTGGGCCCATCTCCTTCATCCACCTTCACGTGGGTCTCTGGCTGCAACATCGTCCTAACTGGTCTCCCTGCCTCCACTCCGGCCCCCCGCCCTAACCACTGATCTATTCTCCACAGCGCAGCTGGAGGGGAACTCTGAAAAATTAAATCCTGCCAATTCTCTCCTCAGAATCCTTGAATTTGCACACTATTGTCCAAAGTCTTTACAACGCTCTGCACACCTGCTCCCTGCCTTCCTCTCCTCTGTCTCCCACCACTTTTCCCAGTCACTCTCTGCTGTCCAGTGTCTTAGAGCCGGACAGCCTGGGTTCCAATCAAAGCTCCATCATTTACACTCTGTGTGACTTTTAACAAGTTTCTTAATCACTCTCTGCCTCAATTTCCTAGTATAATAAAATATATCTCCACTCAGTCAATGCTCAATAAGTGTTGGATATTATATGTAGGAGGCTTCTTTTTAAATTTGGGGCCTTCATACATGCTGTAGTTTCTATTTTAAACATCCCAGACAGTCACTCTCCCCAACACCAACTTGCTCACCTTAACTATCATATCCTCAGGAAAGCAAGTCTTCTGTGACCCTCCCTACCCATCCCACCTGCTGCCCAACCCCCATCCCCCAATTAATTCAGGCTCAGCAAATCAGTGGACACATACGACAGGAGAGAATAATTACTGCGCAATTTTCTCAATGGAAGTTCATTTCACAAGAGAGAAATGTCTTTTAATTTTAATATCCAAAGGCTCTAGCAGTATTAAAGTTGGCCAATCTAATTTGCTAGAACATAAGACAGTAACTATAAAGGAACACTTTCTGAAACACCTTCTTCACACCCTCTAATTTTCCTTCCTCATGGTATTCTAATTGCTACTGAATAATTGATCTTGTGATCATTTCTATATGTGACTATAAAATAATGTCAATGAAATCATTAAGAAAGAGATCAAGAGGATAAAGGGTCTCTGCAGTGAGGATCAGGCAGTGGACAGTAGACACCTGGGGGGGGCGGGGGGAGTGGATGCAAATGTCTTTCTACCCAAACCAAGTATTAAAAAGTTGAAAGAAGGGACAATAAAAATTTGGCATGGGTGAGACTGGAACAATGTCCAGGGGACCAGCGACGTACCATGTTGCTCCCCTATATATATATCCTAGCCAGGATCCACCATAGGAGGGGCTCAGGCAGGTAACTGGGTCTGGGATGATGTCCCCAAAGTGGTGCATCCTGGTTCCTGAACATTGACTGAGTGGCACTACTTTAAGCACTTTTGATATCTTTTATAAGAACAGATGAGGACACTGAGGCAGAGAGTGATTAAGAAACTTGTTCAAGGTCACACAGAGTGTAAATGATGGAATCTTGATTTGAACCCAGGCTGCCTGGCTCCAAAACAATGGACAGCAGAGAGTGACTGAGAAAAGTGGTAGGAGATGAAGGTGACATATGGAATTTGTAATTTTAGTTGAAATACTTAGAAATACTTAGAAAACCTTAGAAGTCTACAAAAATCTCATTTTGTAAAGTGTTTGATTTTAACATAATGAAATGTCCAAAAAGTTGGATATACTTGAGTTTTAATTTGTTGGATTTATAAAAATATATAGGAATTTTTAAAAATTAGATTTATAAATCTGCTTCTTTAGGTGTTTAGGTGTTTGTATTTTGAAATTATAATGAATTTAGTGAAATTTTAACTAGCAGTGCTTAGAATAATTTAATTAAATTTATAGGTTTCTTACAAAAATATATACAAGAGAATTTGATTACGTTTCCACGTGCTGTTTAAGTACTCAGGATAATTTAATTAGTGCAATTTGTAGATAAATTTGCCACTAATCAAAACCTAGAAAAGCTGGTGTTGAAAAGCCACAGTCTCCTCCTCCACCTTTCCCACAGGCCAGCACCTCTCTCAGAGGCATCCCCTTTTAAGTGCTTCTGGCTTTAAGTTCTCCTGTAGTTTAACTCTAACTCTAAATGCCTCTATTTTTTCATTTAGACAGTATTTATTAACTCGCCCATGAGAGTGGTTGAGCTCATTTATAATACTCTGTTATTCCATTCCCCTTTTAAACATACAATTTAACAAAATAAAATTACTTTTAGGTATTCTATAGGTTATGATTGTACCTCTCAATAATATACTCATACCATCATTTCTTGCTTCGTAAATGTTAGCATTACCACTCTGCTAACTGTCAAATGAGGTTATCCATGGGAGTGCTGGTAAATGCTTAACAACCTGTTCTTAGAAGGCAAAACACAGAGTTTGCCTATTCCCACGTAATACTCCCATCATGACCAATTTCCCATCGTTGCCAACACGATATCAGTGACACCATGTTGACATCACGCACACCACTGAGTTAGTACCCTGAAAATTTCTTCCTTCTTTACTCCCTCTTCCACCTTCTTTCTTCTATCAGGTATTTTTCTTGTTACAATCTTAAGATAGTTTATATTTACAATCTATTCTGCCACCATAACAAAATTTGTATGTGTTATCCACTGGTTGGTTATAAACATTAAAAGCCAATAAATAACATTCATGAAATTATACTGTGCAGTACACATATTGTTGGCCAAGAAGTATGTGGAGTTATATTTCCCTCTCTGTGGTCCTATTTCATGGTCCCTGAGCCACTTACATAAAATTTCCCTGACATCATGGTCAAATGGATTGCTTTTTCTTATACTCTATCAATGGTAAAAAATTATTCCACCTGCTTCACGTTTTTGGATCACAATATTCATATACAGTCTTTGAATTTGGTTTTTCTAATTTTCCTCTTTATGCTTGACCAAACTGATGGGCCTTCATCAAGTCCTCAAGTTTTTCCATCCTCCCAATCACTATCCACTAAAGAGGACTTCTCTTGTTCTGGGAGATCTTGGGCCCAGCCATCCTGCTGTTCCAAGCACTCATGGCACCATGACATTTCCTTTCATGGCTCTCATAGGTTGGATGCACCATTTTCTGGATCCTGTGTCCCAGATTCGTCCATATCCCCTCTTTCCCTTTCTCTCTCTCTCTCTTCTCTCCTCCAATCTCCCAATCCCACCTGCAGCCTTAACTAACTTTGTAAGAAGTGTTATGTGGAGAGCAATATCTCGTGCTCCGTATGTGCAAATGTCTTTACTGTACTTTCACACTTGGTCTACATTCACACTTGGTCTAGTTTGACTGGGTACAGAATCAGAGGTTGGAAATATTTTATGCTTCTATATTTTGGAGCCATTGCTCCATTCTCTTCTTGCATTCAGAGTTGCCATGGAGAAGTCTAATCCCACATTAACTTATGTCTTTGTTTTCCAAAATTTCATGAGAATGCATCTTAGATATATTTTTGTTTTTTTCCCTTTGGTACTGTGTACTCAGTGGGGCCTTTTAGTCAGAATCCTTGCTTGCTTTATTATTTCTTTGATATAACTTGCCCCTTAAGTGTCTCTCTTTTCTTTTGTGGGGACTCCTATTAGTTGGGTGCTAGACTTTCTGTATTTGTCTTCTTCACATTTGCCAGCTATAAGTGTGTTAGCCCTATATTTTTAGAGAATTCCCCGAATTTATTTCTAATTGGTCTATTAACTTTTTGACAATGAAAAACTTAATCTTCCAGAGCTCTTTTGTATTCTCAGTTTATCCTTTCCAAGACCTCCTACTTTTAGTTAGTGGGAATCATAGCTACTTTCATCTCTGAATATATTTCATAAATTTATTTTCTTTTTTCTCAATTATGTTTCTTATAGAGTCACGGTTTTGTTTTTTGTTTGTTTCTTCACATGAGATTTTAACCTTTTATGCTTCTAGATTTTTTTCACGTATCTTGTGATCCTTGATTGTTCAAAAGAAGAAGTAAATTAATTACCCTTGATGGCTGGTATGTATTCTCTCTGCTACTGAGCGGGAGCTCTGACAGGGGGCTCTGTGTGTATGAGGGGCTGGCGGCTCCAGCCCACCCGTCCCACAGATGCCATAATGAGGAAGGCTTTCCTCTGAGAGTCCCAACCAAATGGAAATCCTCAGCTCTTCTCCACTGTTTTAGTCGATATTTTTGGGAAACAAGCCCTCTGGATTTTTGGCAGGCAGTCCCTGCCAGATTTTTGAGAGCTCCGTACATAGAAAAAAAAAATGTTAGCAGATGGACAGAAGGGGGGGTGGGAGGGGCAGGTACAACAGACACAATTGTCCAGAGTCTAGACTTCACATTAATTGCCCTATTTTTGGCCTCACTTGTCACTCCTCATGCTGACACTGAGCCCTGAGCCTGTGGAGGGATACAGAAGTCCCCTCATTAAGAGCTGGCCTCCTTATTTTGTTTTCCCTTTGCATTTATCCTTCTGCTTTTCGTCTTCCAGAATTCTAGGATGCATACAGGCCCTTCCCTTTATTCACTCTACTTTTACAGGCTTATTTCTGTTAGGGCTTCCATTCCTCTATTCAGTGACATCTGGGGAAAATAGCTCACGCAGGCAAGTGCTCGGTCCACCATTGTGAAGCTGGACACCACTCAGCGGTTTTTGAATCCCCTTGTTCTCCTAAAGGCACTGTGCCTTTTTACTATCACCCATCAGCCATGCTACTCAAGAGCAGGTTCTAAGCAAATGACCAGTATTTCTGCCAATTTTCTGCTTTTCTTTTGAAGTGCATTAAAGAGCCTTACCCAAAATCTGACACTGGCTGGGAAGGATCTGCTGCTGAGTCTAGCAGAAAGCGTTTCTGTGTGACAGTCCTCGTATAATTTACATTAAGCACAGGGTAACCCATCTGTCTAGTCCAGGTGTCCATTACTTCTGCCACTGGTAGATTACTTGCCTAAGATTGAAAAAAATATGGAGATTAATTAACAAATAAAGGGAAATAAAAGGGTAGAACAGTCAGGTAAAGATATGAATGGTAAATCATTGTAAATCAGGTAAAAAATAATATTTGGGGATAAACTCTTCCTTACCTCTTCCAGTGCTTCCCAAAAATCTGAAGTTTTTGCATTCTTGAATTGGAATTTCTGCAAGTAAATCTGTATGTAAAAGATAACAAGTATTTTAGAAGTTAATGTTTGCTTTTGTTATACTTCCACAACATGAACTAAATCCTGAGTTATATTTCATTCTAATGTATAATATAGCAGGTCAATCTAGAATGAAAATTAAATGGTATACTGTATGCAAACCATTTCATAATCTATAAAAACACTGTAAAATAATATTTTATTTGTGCAGCATAATGGATATTTTTCAGATCAATGAAATTTTTATTTGCTTTTTTGTTTTTTTTGTTTTGTTTTGTTTGTTAGACCAATGCAATTGTGACCAGGAGTGGGAAAGAGCTTAATTCTTTCGAGGCAGGCAATCTAAGACTCTTAAGGGCAGTCAAGGGCTCAGCAAACACTCGACAGTTCACAATATTCTTGATCCATTGACTATGAAGAGAGATCCATATTCTATGATCTTCAATCAGTGGTTGTATTGTCATTTTCTGTGGTCTTTCCTCACCTTAGACACTAGATGACTCCATCACACACAAGTGACTGAAGTGGTATGTAAAGATGAAACAGGTGAGCAAGGCTCTAAGCCAGGGGTCGGCAAACGTTTTCTGTGAACAGCTAGATAGTAAATATTTCAGGTGCTGTGGGCCATATACCTTCTGTCACAACTACTCAGTTCTGCCTCTGCAGCACAAAACCAGCCACAGACCATAGGTAAAGGAATGAGCATGGCTGTCTTCCAAAAGAACATTATTTGTCTCCATTGATATTTGGATACCATACAAGTTTCATGTGTCATGAAATATTCTTCTTCTTTTGATTTTTTTTCAACCATTTGAAAATGTAGAAACCTTTTTCAGCTCATGGATCTTTAAAAAATGTGTGGTAGGCCAGATTTGGCCTACAGGCAGTAGTTTGCTGACCTCTGCCATGAGAAAATGAATATACAACCTATTGAATAGCAATAATGGTAATAATGATGAGGATGGATGAACTGGGGAAATTATTCACTTTAAGAAACATCTTCAGGGCCGCCCCCGTGGCTCACTCGGGAGAGTGCAGCACTGGTAGCGCCAAGGCTGCGGGTTCGGATCCTATATAGGGATGGCCGGTGCAAACTGGCTGAGTGTGGTTGGATGACACCAAGCCGAGGGTTGCGATCCCCTTACCGGTCAAAAAAAAAAAAAAAAACATCTTCAGGGCCGGCCCCGTGGCTCACTTGGGAGAGTGTGGTGCTGATAACACCAAGCCAAGGGTTTAGATCCCCTTACTGGTCATCTTTAAACAAACAAACAAACAAAACATCTTCACTCTTCAAACATTTTAAAAATACAAATCTCTTCAATAGAAGGCTCCCCCTTTTAGAGATTCTGTTCACAAAACCTATCTGTGTACACAAGTTTTCAGATATAGTGTGATATAGCTCCAGAGAAAATTCCCAGGCTTCTCCTAATCCCATACATCATTTGGGGTTCTCCAGGAAACTTTGCAAATTTCACTCCTCTGTTACTTTCTAGAGTTGCATGGTTTAAAATGTGGAAGTCTTTGATAGAAATAAAGCCTTCTTAAGTTTTTTTGTTTTGGGGTTTTTTTTTGTTTGTTTTTTTTTTGCTGGCCATTACAGGGATGGAAGCCCAGACCTTGGTGTTATCAGTACCACACTCTAACCAACTGAGCTATCAAGTGTTCTTAATGGTTAACTTTGCACACATCATTTTCACTCTAAGTTGCTATAATTTTTAGTAGGTGCTGTACCTAAGTCACATTATCTTCTAAATTCCTCTTCTTTTCAGGTATAGAGAGATAAAGCAATATTAGCAGGACCCCAAGAAACCTGGAAGAGTGTTGAGGCCAGTTTGTAATGCGGCCTCCGTATCGGTTCTTTTGATCAATTCACTTCTCGGCATGACCACCAGAGGGCAGAAAAGGCAGGGAGAAGAAGCAAGCACTGTCAATGTCAGGCACTCCTTCCAGAGTGTTGCACCTATCACAAATTGTATCTTAATAAAATAATTGGATACTTGGTATAATAATAATTATAACCATTGCTATGTGTAAGTGACAATTTCTGTTGAATAGTATCTTCTTAAAATTAATTTAGAGGAGTTTATTTGTACACTCACAATGTCCTGAGTTTAGAAACATGCAATCTAAAAGATAACTTAAATACTATTTAATGTAACTTCCACATTTTTGAGGTAAAGGAAACTGTTCTGCCTATCTGGGTGACTACAAAGGTGAAGAGATTTGCCTGAGATTACTATGAAGAGAATTCTGAATCCTGGATCAGTGTGTGTGCTTTTCATCACGGCTGTTGTTACTGTTTTTTAAATTGCAACTTCTAGAGGCTGAATGGAAATTTATATAAACAGTACATTAAAAAGTACTGATTTTATTTTGTCTAGATTAGTCCTTCTGAATATTCTATATTATGAAATTTCCTTCCTCATCTTGAATAACCACGACACAGTCATTCCAGTCAAAATCACATGAGGATCTAGGTCATGGCCCCTCAGTAGTTGGTATTGGTCAGCACAAAAGGAAAGGGGCAATGTTTCTATTACTAGTATCCCAGAAAGGGAAGGAATACCTTCCAACTGAGCCATTCCTATCTTATCAGGGATACTACTGATACCAGAAGAAAAAAGAAAGAAGAGAGATATTTCTCAGTTATTTCATAACCATACATGGTTATGATGGAATGCCCCATTATCTATTATACTTTTTTATGTACAAGTACAGCTTTAAAGATTTTTCCTCTTGGTGATTTTGCTCTTATTTCCCCCCACCCTGTACTTATTTTGCTCTCTGAGTTTGAGTTTGGGGGCAGGTGATGAATATGAAAGAGAGCAGACAACGGGCCAGCCCCAGACTTAGCACCACGCCAGGTCAGCTAATGGAGAGTCACTATTGGCAGATAGTTGGTATTCGCAAGGGAAAGACCTTGAACTCCAGTTCCACAGATGGTGGGATTTAAGGGCAACCATCACAGTGTGATGATAATAGCTCAAGGAAGATACCGTTTGGGTGCCTGAACCATGTGAAGCAATGTTTCAGTTGGTCTGAGATCTTACTGAGTATGGCCTATATGGATCATGTACTATTTTCAGATATTAGTTAGTGTCTGAAGACTGAAGAAAAAGAGTGACTGTTTTGGTATTTTTTTATTTTTATTTTTTTGTCAGTTCCTTCCATAGCACTACACTGGTATGAAAACTTAGTATTTATTCATCCTACTTCAGTTTCCAGCACCTGCTATAGGCACAGTTAGGGTAGAGGAAGACTGTTTTCACTTGAGAAATATTAGTTTTAGAAAAGACTTTTTTGGGCCGGCCCGGTGGCGCACTGGATAGTGTGCCGCTTGGGAAGCGCGGCGGCGCTC